TCTTTCCCAGATGAGTGAATACTTTTCCAGGACAGGCAAGGGGGAAACTCTTAACTCTGCTTTGGAAATGTCCTGCCAAAAGCTGAAAGACAATAAGCAATGCTGGCTAACAGGAAAATTTGAGATGGGAATTCCAGTGGTTTCTCACTTCCCAATACAGAGGAGCTGGTCTGCTGCAATTTCAGCCTAGAAATGGCCAAAATACATCTTAGTTAGCTATTGTGAACAAGCATCTGTAGCAGTTGTTCCATATGCTTGTTCACATATTAATAATGTGTTTTTACAAACCTCTGGTCAGCAAAACCATATTCCCATCCCTTTGCTTTTCCCCATATTTTTTTTCCATCCTTGCATGCTGCCAAAAGTTTTGGGAGAGAAGCACTGGGTAAACCTGGGGAGGAAACAGGTAAATTTTTTCCCAGACTCCCCTATGAGATTATGAAGAGGAGAAGCAATATTGCTCTGCCAGATTATAACCTGTATTAGTAGATAAGGAGAGGATGCTTTGTCCTCCCTAGGGGCCTTTGCACAAAACCCACTTAAGCAGGCTTTGTAAAATAACCAGGTGAGTTTTTCCTTCACGTGTAAAAACAAATGCCTCAAAGAAGTAGAATATTTAAAAATAATTGAATAGAAATCTAATGGTGAAATTAAAGGGTCCAAGAGCCTTTTATTCAGAAGGTACAGTTGTGACTATGCTTTTACTGTATACAGACTTGGAGGAAATAGTTTTGTTTAACATCAGTAAACCCAAACTTATTCCATAACTGACCTCCCTGGGAGCATTTAGCTCAGATGTGACATGAGCCTCTCCGATGACTGAAATAGGCATGGCAGTGAAGAGCTGGGATTAGTATTTTAATCATAAATAGTTTTTAGTAGGGTTGCAGTTATATCCATTCAAAACCTATCTCCCTGTGGCCGAAAGGAATGGATTTGTTGTACAAAACAAAATCAAATTGCAAGCATGTTGAACCCAACATCTGCTTCACCACATAGTACAGCATCTTAGAATTAATAACCCAGCAGAAACATTTGCACAGATATTTTCTGTTATTGCCCTGTATGTAGTTTGCAGAAGCTATTATGTGAAAATTACTTGGATATTTGAAGCTTTTATGTTTTTTAAGAGCAGCAAAATAAGTCTTAATTTTTCCTGTAATGTAAAGAATTTCTTATTAAACTACATGATGGTAAAATCTTTAAAGTATTTATAGCCAAACAGCATGATAGCAAATTTCACCTAGTAGTTTTAAAGAACTGATGCCTATTAGATAAGTTCAATAGTTCATGAAACATAATGTGTACTATGAAAAACCTGGGACAAATGGCATCAAAGAACAGCCTGAAAAGTGGCTGCACCTCTCAGTCGGCTGCATTTGCTCCCGCTGTGTATGAATGCATTCTTCATTCAGACAAGTCTCATGCTCTATTGTATAATTCCAAATAACTGTGACTTAATTCTACAGGTATGTAGGAGAATTTGTGAATGTAGGCAGTGTTTCACCTCTTCGGACTTTCAGGGTATTGAGAGCTTTAAAAACTATTTCAGTAATCCCAGGTAAGAAGCCCTGATCCTTATGTTTTGGCTCTCAGCTACAAGTGATTCTTTCTCTGTCTCTCTTTGTCCCTTTGACTGTTGTTTTTTTTGGCTGGTGTTTTGTCATTGTCTGTGTGTGACTTTCCCTTGTTACAGATACATAACTGAATTTGTGGACCTGGGCAATGTCTCAGCCTTACGAACGTTCAGAGTACTGCGGGCGCTGAAAACAATCTCAGTCATTTCAGGTGAAAATCAGGTTAAACACTCCGGCTGCAGTTAAAGCCTACATGCCATTTCCAGTAGTAAACACAGTAATTACAAATGACTTAACCATAGATACTGATCAGGAAATGGAGGAATGTAGGGAATGTGACCTGTCAATAGAATACATTTTTCATGTGTTTTTCCAGTACTGGTTTTGTGGGGAGGAGGAATTAGGATGCCTCCACAATTACAGCTCTCACTAAGAGGAGTGCTGCTGTAAGAACAGTGCTGTGTGGTGGCTCATGAATCACATACATAAAGGTCTCATTCATGAACCATATGAAAATGGCAATGAACCTCTTGAAAAGTCTTCGGATATTGATTTTTAAAAATGGAAGGTTAATGGCCTCAAAATGCATATTTGTGTTTAAGAGTGCACTGATAGAGGAATCTAAATCTGTGCTGTGAGCTGAGGTTTCAAGACTGCAGGAATAGATAGCCTCGTTTGTCATGGTGTTTATCCATTCCACATGATAGAAACACTGTTTAAATTTTGGACTCTGAAGAGATCAGAATATGTTTCAGCGTTGATTTCAGCAAGTTTGGCGTTTCATCAGCTCACATATTTTCACATTTTCAAGAATATGACCCCTCTCATCCGAAAAACAACCCAACCAAACTGTTTTGTTACAGGTCTGGTAGTGAAAAATGCTGTTTTATTTCATAACTTTTTATCTAATCATAAAATAATAAATAATATTTACTATTAAGTCATTTATGCAGAGATGAGTCCTCTGAGGATGAACTATATGACAGTATTTTCTTGCCAGTCATTATCTATGGACAGGTCTCATTCAGCCTCAGTGTTTAACATCTCAACCTGCATGACAAGGTAGAGAAGATAGCAAAAGCCATGCATGGTAGATTCTATCAGTGATAATCCTGAACAGATGTTGGCAATTACATATCAAAAATGTTCAAAGCATGGAGAGAACTGCTCAGATTCTCACACGTGGCTCTTTAAGGTTAGAAAAGCTTTTCCACACATTATATTATGCAAATCTACACTGTAACATCTATCTAAACAAATTATGTAGTGATATAGTGATTATTATAGGGATGTGGATTTCAATGCATCAGCATCACTCGCATGGAATGTAAACTAGAAATGGGAATCCTGGAATTAAGGTGTTAAGAAAAAAAATCTATAGCTCTAAGGTTTACTCCCTCATTCCAATACTATAGTAATACAAATCAGTGAAATTACTGAAAGAGAAAAGCTCTTTGAACATGTATGCAAAATATAACTTTTAAAGAATACTTTAAGATGATCAGTCATTAGGTCTGGTATTCCTTGAAGTCAATTGCTCTTAATTTTTCTTTTTAAATTTAGTAAGAATAATCTGTCAGCAGAGAGGTGTTTTTAAGTTTTCTCCAATTGGATTTCCATTGAGAAAGGATTTTTTTTTTATTGGGTAACAGAAAGTTAATTTTAAAGATCATGTGGAAAGTAGTGGCTAATCAGAAAGAAAACTGGCATTTCCTAGCTTCCTTTGGTAGCAATTTGAAGACTAACTTGGGAGGGACAGCCATCTCCAAGGGTCATTTTTCACTTTCCATCTTGTCTCAAGCTTGAGCCTCTTCAGAATAAGCCTGTCAGTTTTGCTAAGTTATTCATATAGTAATTTTCTGGTCTCCTATATAAGAGTTGGAGCTGAAGCTTATTTTACTTCAAATGATAAATTTTGTCTCATATTTTTAGCGGAGAAAAAAAAGGAGTATTGAGGTTCAGAAAAACTTTATTTAAAAATACAGCAAAGCCTCTCAGTGTTAATAAACAGAGTTGTGCCATGTTGGTTAATAGAAAAAAAAAAAAAAAAAGAGAACTACTATTTATTAGAGTAATACACAATAACTCACATTCTCTTTTTTTATTTCTGACTGACTATTTGATTAGTTTTTGATAACTGCCTTTTTAGGTGCTAGAAACTAAATTATTTGCTGGCATAACTGCATGAAGATATGCTAATAGAATATCTGGCCTTAGATTTTATTGTCAGGCTTACCTGTGCCCTGAACATGTTTAAATTACACATGTGGAGAGCTACAAATTGCCATGGAACACCTAGCTGCCTGTAAAACAGAGCTAAGGTTTCTTTCTAGTGTTAGCAAATAATTTCAGAGGAGTCAGTTCATTTTTTCAGTTAGAGACATATTTTAAAAGAAATGCTAGGCATGATACTGTGATTTATTTGGAGATCAGTCTGATTTTTTAATGATAACATAGGCTTATGCTGAGATGATGTATTTTTCCACAATGGACTTAGAAATCAAAAGATGATGAACACTAAGATCTTCCATGAGATTTTTGGCTTCAACTGCTACAGGGAGGAGAAGGCTGTTGTTATTTTTGCTTCCTCTTTTACATCTTAGGTGAAGAACGCAGAGATGTATTGTCCTTTGCAAATATCTAAGCTTTTCCCCAATAAAATTGATCATGCTTTTCCATCAGATAGTTATATTTGCACAAACATACTTGGACTCATTGTGCTCGGTGAGATTGCTTACGGAAAGTAACGGGCCAAGTCCTCCGTGGTGTAAGGCTTCTGTCCAGCAAAGCACTTAGAGGCTGGTTTTCAAAGGCATTCTGCTTCACTTGAAATCAATGAGTTTCACTATTGACTCCAGAGGGAGTCAGTAAAGCTAACAATTAGTGCTTTTAAAAATCTCACCTACCTTTAATGCCCTGGCTCTAAGTGCACAAGCAGGCCCAGGGACCTTCAAGGGACATGGACTCACAGGACTCAAAAAGATCTAAACCCTCAAGAGTCCTCTCCCCTGGCCTGAGGCTGAGTTTAGTATAGCTCAGACCTGGCATGATATTTATCACCTGCCTTGCTCTAACAGTCCTTCAGAGGTGGAGTTCTCACATCTTCCTGAGAAGTCTGTTCCAGCACTTCATTGGTTTCACCATTAGATTTGTCCTGGGAAGAGGGGTTCAGATTTGGCAACACAATTATTACTCTCTACCAGGAAGCAATGTGCCTCCCTCTCACTGGAGTTCAGGGGCTCACTTTTGTTGCCATCATGCCAATATCTCCTGCTCCCCATGGCCATGGATCATGTGCAGGTCCAGTCTCTGCCCACCCAGCCTTGCTCTTTCTTAGTGCATGATCAGTTCTTTATTTTTTTTACCTTACCATCACTGTTTAGGATGTCAGGTTAGTGTTTTACCCTGTGCTGCAGCCCTTAACAGGCTGGAGAACCTTCATGGATCCCACTGATTTTCCATTTTCTGCACTAAACATGCCCATTTCTTGCTGTTTTCCCATGATAGACAGAGAAAACAAGTTTTGTACAGTAGTTTGGTATCTGTTTATCCAGCTACATTTAAAGAAAAAAGGTTTTAATTTCTTCAGATATCCTTTATGTTTAGGTACTTAGAAATAGGTAACATTTTCTCTATGGGAACATAAAACCTTTAACTCTGAGTGATTTTATGTATTAATTAGTATCTTGCACATTGTCATGGCAACTGGATATGTTCATTTTCAATCTAGAGAGGAACCATGGTCAACAGCAGAAGAATTACCCACTAAACCCAAGACTCCCTTGTCTCCCATTTACCAGTGTATCCAAGTCCCAGTGTGCTCACCAGGAACCCCTCCCATGACAATAGGGTCTCGAATCATAATTTATCTGCATGGAAATAACTAATGGTTTAGGTAACTGCTGAGGTGATAGAGAGCCCTGAGATACACCCTCCTATGCCTCCCCACCAAAAGCCTGCGAATTGAAGGCCATCATCATCATCACCAGGATTTTATAGAGTGCTTGTATCCAGAGAAGCTCCCCTGCTCTTTCTGGAACGGGCATGTACATCACAGACTACTCCCATAAAGTGACAGGATACCGGCGAAAGGTGACCTCATAGCAAATTGGGCCAAGGCACTTTGGGGCCTGATCCAGCTCCCGTTTAAGTTAGTGATGAGTCTAAAGGCTATAAATAGTGCTGTGAATGTTATGCAGTACTTTACTGATAGCCAGAACAGAGCTTGAGAACAAGAATTAAGACTGTGTGGAGGAGATTGACCCTTATTCACTGCTTCAGTCTTACTGAAGTCCTCCTGCAGAGAGATAAAGGTCATCCTCCTGGTGGCTGAAACACTTAACTCAAGAAGTAACTATCCCAGAGGTGAGAAATACATTACGTGTTCGTGTTTTCCTGGGAGACTGGCTTGACAGCCACATTTCCATGCAAAGGTGGTCTACAGGAATGCTGACAACCATCCCAGCTTGCCAATATTCTATTAAACTCTTTGCTGTCCCATGTCTCTGTGGCTAATAACAAAATTTATTCATCAAGAGTGCACTCTTCTCTCCCTACATGCCCATTACTCACGCAGACATTTCCAAGACACACACATATCCTCAGGAGGAGGAGGCTAGATGAGGACAGCCATGGTGCAAGTCACACTCTCTTTTTTTTTTTGCTTTTGCTTTTCCTCCTTGCTCGTTTCCAGACTGTGCCTGAAAGTGTCTGATGTTCTGCAGGTGATTGCCAACATCTGGTATGGATGTCACACTGAATTACGCTAATAGTTTCTCACATCTCGTAGAAGGAATGGATGGTGTTGTGGGATCTTGCCATTTCTCATTGTTTGGTGTTGCTTGCATTTTCTATAGTTTCCAATTTGCATTTTAAAACTGCTTATTTGCTTAACCTCTGAATGTGGTTATTTCTCCCTGCCTTAACAGGAATGTCTGGGCCAAACCCTTCTTACTTTCTGCAGGTGTCAGGCTGCCTATACAGCCCTCATTCCACTGATTTTGGATCTCGTGGTGTTTTTCATGTCATGCAAGTAGGCTTTGGCCCAGAAGTGTGGAAAGAGTTCAGTGATTCCGGAAAAGCCTGTATTGATTAGTCCATAGGGAGCAATTTATAGACCCATTGTCATTAACGGGTGTAGACGTTACTCAGCTGTGGATCAGACCCTCAGTTTTTTCTGCATGCTGCCTGGTTTGATGTCTGTCTTGCAAGAATTAAATAAATGCCTTTAATGCCCCATAAATAGTATCTTTTATTAAGCTATATGGCAGTGCTCTCATTGGCACTATTTCAAAGGAGGATTATTTATCTAGAAGGTTTAACAGTGCTCTAAATTTGAATACCTCTAGCATTGCTTTTACAGAACAAGAGATTGATACAGGGAAATGCAGGGCACCTGCAAGAGGTTCTGGGTGTCCTCGTTTCCCCTCAGCCCTTCCATTTATGAGGCACAGAAAGTTTAAATTAATGGTGATTTAAACACCTTGTTTAACAGTGAGTTGTGCCAAACAACTTAATACACAGTACTTAATTTCCTGGGCAAATTTTGTTTTTAAAAGGTGAGAAAAAACAGTTATCCTGTAGGTATACCACTCCCAAAATGTTTTTCCTGGTAAGTTTTAACAAGGGTCCAGAAGGCAGAGTACAAGTTATTTTTAAATGGTCTTTAATTACAGCAATTGTATTACTAAAGCATTGAAACAAAAACAAAAAGTAAAGCAGAAAGCTGTCTCATAAAGAAATTATTTGATACCTGCAAGGAATGAACTTGTAAAACTAATAGTATAGGATTACCATTCTATTTAAAACCTCAGTAAGTAAACTGAGAAAAACATGTTTCACAAAATGACCTTGAAATTAACAATACAGGGGCCTGATTTGGAGAACAGATAGTCTTTATTGGTGATTAGGATTTTGTAGGTCTTGTTTCCTAATATTATCCTTGTTCAATTGGGACTCCCATTGTCCTTGCTCATGTGAGTAAGATTAATTAGTGTACTTAGGTGATAAAAATACAGACTCCAAGCTTGTACTCGTATTGCAAACAAACAAATGTGCTGCAGGGATTTCACAGAGGGTAGTGCAGTAAAAGAATTTGTGGTTTGGCTTTTTTCCCCTTTCTTAACACTTGGTTTGCATTTGGACTTCCCAACTTTCACCAGCTTCAGTGAAGAAATACCTGTGCATTCAGAGGACTGCCAACAATGAGAATCACCAAAACCATTTCAGAATATTAGATTTAAAAAAAAAAATATTCTAATGCATTTACAAATCGTATTTCAAATCACTACCTGTTTAAGACCTGGCTGGTCTCATAGTTTGACACTAGATAAGGGTGAGACCCCAGAAAGTCCTTCAGAATTGGGCTACAAGTCAAACTACTTTCACTTCAGGTATAAAGTTCACATGGGATTAGATTATCAGAAGAGTTATGGGTTTTATTTAGGCATCAAAATATATAGCCAATGTACAGATGGGCTCAAAAGTTAAAAGTTGGCCTTTTTCTAGGTACCTGAATAGAACCGACCTCATTTGTAAATTTTTTTTCTGGTGAAGAGTGCAAATAGCATGAAAATCTAACGTTTGCCTAATTTTTGTACTGCAATATTTTTTACTTTAGAGTAGAGCAGGGAGCTGTCTAACCTTTCCCTCTTTACCATGCAACAAACTAGCTTTAAAGAGGCAAGCAAAGAATTCAGTGCAGGATGTGGGCTACCCACACCTAGTGGATCAGTCTGGTTTGGTGAAATGGCCATTTTATAGATGTTAATATCATTCACAGATTAACCTAATGGCAATATCCTACGCAGGAGTGGAAGATTTTAAGCTGCTGGACCTGTTGGCCACTCTAGCAGCCCATCCTTCTTTAATAAACTCTGCTTTTCCCTGCAGATTTTTAAACAAGACCAAAATCCCATTTTCTCTTCCTATAAGTCCTCAAGTACATTTTCATATTATTTTAAGTTATATAGCACTAGCTCAACCTTTGTGGCTGCCAAACTCTTGGGGTGGAATTCCAGGGAACTGAGATTTAATGTGTGTGATCATGTTCAGTGAGCAAATCAATGTGCTTCTGAGTGTTGCCCAGGAGAATCCCTCCTGTTTCCTCTTTGCATTTTCTGTTTCCTATTTAACTCAATTTCTCTTACTGCTGCCATACTGGTGACAGTGATTATCAGAAGCACTGATTACTACTTATTGAGTATTAATTAAATATAAATAGAAAAGAAACAACAAAATTGCTGCTATTGTGCAGCTGATATTCACATCCAGCTACAGCATACAAGTTCAGAAGAAGGGTCTGTCTTTGAAAAGAGTGGGTTTTGTCATATTCATGTAATATTCAGTCAGCTCAAATGGTGCTGGTCTCCAGGAACGTTTCAAAAGCAAACAATATCTTTTGAGAAAATGCTGTAATTATTTATATCCATCTATTTAGGGAATAATAAACTGAAACTAGTGTTAAAGGGTGAAATGACACAGGAGAAGCTAATTTGTGTGACCCAAGCCTTTAGTGTTTGTAATAATATGGTTTATCTACATTGGCAGCATATTATAAAATTATTAACTTTGCCTGGGTATTGTTGGACCCTCAGGTTGTGTTACTCAAATAGTTTCCACTGGGTTTATTTGATTGTCCATGTTATTTGACTTATTTTTAACCACAAATTCTTGTTGGTTTAAGCAAATGAACTGAAGGCAGAGGAATTATTCATATGAGGACAGCAAGCTGAATTTGGCACTAAATATGTAACATAATCAGGGAATAAACAACATTTCTGTATGTCTTCATTTGTTTATGTGAGGGATAATGTCATCAGAATCACCTTAGTGGTTTGAAACTAATTCACATTCTCAGAAGTCAGTGGGATTTAGGCTTTACAACCTTTACTGCAAATACATGAAAATATAAAAGACATTATTTTTTTAATCCATGAATATTTTTGTATCTCACTGTTCTTCCATCCAGTTCTTTCCCTTCATTTTTAAATCAGTGTTTGTGTAAGAGTAATACCAAAACTTTTGTCCAGACAAAAGTAGACCAAATTAAATGTTTATAGTGATCACTTGTCTCTTATTTCTGCCTTTTCCAGTCATAAACATGTAGTAGAAACCCTTCCAATTTTCACTTCCACTGAGATTTTCATCATGAAAATAGCTATCTGCAGACATGTTTCAGCCTCTCAGTCTATAAACTCTTGGCTTTTATCTCCTTAGGACTGAAGACCATTGTAGGGGCTCTTATCCAGTCTGTTAAGAAACTTGCAGATGTGATGATCCTGACCGTTTTCTGCTTGAGTGTCTTTGCCCTCATAGGCCTCCAGCTCTTCATGGGCAACTTGAGACACAAGTGTGTCAGGGACTACACCAAGTTTAACTTCACCAATGGCACGTTGTACTTGGATGGTAGGATGTGGAACAACTCAGAGGAATTTCTTAGTGATCCAGGTAAGCTCTTTACTTCGTTGTCTGTTGGTTTTTCTTTTATTATTATTGTTGTTTGGGGATTTTTTCATTATATTGGCCAAAATCTGTGGATTTGTGAATCCACAAATGCAGCATTATGTGACTATTGGCTCTTCATGATGTTGATGGGCTTTCAAAAGGTCTAGGTAGATTTTTCTCATCTCTGTGGTGTCTTCACAGTTCATACTGAAAGTATTTCTTTGTTGTGATCCAGACTAAAGTCCTTGTTGCACCATTGATGATTTTCAGAGTTTTAGGCTGTCTCATGATATTTTTCTTAATGCTCCCTTTTCTGGAATTAGGCAACCAGATGAAAATTTCAACTCCATGTGTGGGCCGGGTTTGCACACTGTTTCTTGCAGACAATTTATAGGTCTTGAATTTTCTTGCAAAACTTCAAAATTTGAATTAAGTGCCTTAAAAGAAAAAAAGAAAAAGCAAAGCAGTGCAATTAAGTATTTATTAAACTGAAAAATCCCAAGATAATTTTTTTTAAGGAAATCTTATGCTACTAGGGCCCCAACTCATTATCTGGGTTGGGCCATCCTGAAGTATCTGGTGCTCTGATGTTTATTATGAAAAGGCTTATTTTCTAGGACAGAGCAATTTTTAGTACTCTACAGCCTGCTATACTTTAAATTACAACAAAATAGGTTCACTGAACTAATCTATTAACATTAAAATAAATCATTTCATGTAAATAAACTACAGAATGTAAGCAAGTGGCCCAGCTGTTGCTGCTCCAAACCCCTTTGAGTCACCAGAGGATCCACACCAGTTGCAAAGGATGTGGACTCGCATCTAAAACAATTCAGTGGTACTCTTGAGGGAAGGAAGCAGCCAGACTTATGTGTGTGGGTAGGAACGTATGACCAGTGACCTTTGGTATTTTCTTTATTTTGAGGAGAAGAATGAACCACATAGTCAACTCATTAACTGGACATTTGATTGGAAGGATGTGACGTAGAGTCACAGGGTACCTCTGCTCCAACTGTGTGGACCCTACAGTTCTGTATCTTGAGCCATCAGCACTATGAAATCTCTGTGCTTGACTCTTGGAAGTTGCCTGCCTTGACCTAGGGCTCTGCTGAACACCTGGCACAAGGTTTCTTCCAGCTCCTGCTGGTTTGTCACCTTTGTACACCTCTCCAGCCAGACTACATGGTCCAGGGATTGGGCCAAGTGCAGTCATACCATTCATTCCCCATTGGTGACTTCTGTCCTTTCTGCTTGGTTCTCTCCCTGCAGTCTGAACAGCCCTGGAAACAACGGTGTTAGAAAGTTCTTGTTCAAGGAATAAAAAGCCCAACACTGGTGCCTTTAACACATGTGGTTGATGCAGTATTAAGGAAGGGCAGCTCACAAAGCTCTGGCTGAATGAGGGTTGTCTTTGGGTCTGATCCTGACCATTGAGAGGTTATGTGTCCTCTCAATATCCCTATATCAGATCCTTTTATCAGCTGAAAGGGGGAAAAGCTTTGTGCCAGAGCTCAAAAAAAATCCACAGTGGACTTATGCTGGCTGGTGCTGAGCCTGGTGTCATGTTTTCCCACCCCTGCTCTCAGTGCTTCCAGCTTGGAGACAAGTGCTTAGAGAAGTAGTAAAGCTACCTGTGCACCTGTGGTGGATAAAGGCACTTCACTCCTCCTCCACCCACTGATAACTGACAGCTGTATGAGGTGCTGCTCTGCCTCTCTCCTAGAGGCACTGAGAGGTAAAATAGTGGTGACTGGAAATGATAAAGGTGAAGGGATGAATGAAGACAGTCTGGCTCTCTGGAAGTAGGGTAAATATACCACTGGATAGTCCCTAGAAAAATATAGTTAATGTTAGGGCCAGCTATAGCATTGTTTTAAATGGGAGGAATTGTACATCTGCTCCAGCATACTGGGAGTAAGTTTACTTGTATGGCCCTGATATGGGAAGGAGGGGAGCTGCTTCTATAAATCCATTGAGTGAATCCAGCAATGATTAATATGGTCATGAGAATATACGTGTTATCACTGAAGGAATTTTACCCATTACAAAGATAATCAACTTTGTGAGACAATGGATTAAAGTGAATTAAAGCTTGACCATGTGGTATGAATAGTAAGTAATAATAATGTCAATGGAACTTCTTGTGCTATCTGAAAATAAAGACATGGTGCATTATGGTAAACAGCTGTCAGTTATGGTGGGTGGACAAAAATTATTTAAGTAGTTGAAGTGTTGAGTCAATGCAGCAGGTCACTGAAGAGCTAGAAGAAAAGTAGATTTGTAGGAAAAATGTACTGACCTTGGAATAAGAATAATGAAGTGTTCCTTGAAATGCTGGAGGAGGTGGCTTAGCTATTAGACTAGGGAGAACAATATTAAGTAGGATTTTCACTTAATGTTGACAATCACAGTAGAGCAATTCAGAAATGGAATGACTGGCTCATTTTGTAACTAGATGGGATAGTGGTTTATATTTCATTTTGCATAAGTATTACAGTCAGATGAAGTGACTGTTTAACAGAGGACTACTGACCACAATTTAATAACAGTCCAAATTTCAAGTACTGCAGGGAATTGAGCAATACATACAGTTAGATTAAAGTGTAGGCAGATCAAATTAGATAAAAAGAGGAATATATTAAGAAACAGGGTAGTGTCAATGTTTATTCTGAAGAAGAGCTAGAGAAGAAAATTGGCCAAGGTGTTGAGATAGTAGAGTCTGCTCAAAGGGAGCACAGAAAATTACAAAATCTCTTTGGAGACTTCAAAAACAATGTGGCTGAGTCATTTAGTTTGGAGAAGGGATACTAATCTAAAGAACAGAAACCTGAAGTACTGTCAGAGATGCATAGTACTACTATTCTTTTTTAAAAAAAAAAAGGAATGTAGAAAAATGGGGCTTACAAGAAAGATGAGGACGGGCTTTTTAGCAAAGCCTGTTGTGACAGGCCAAGGGGTAATGGTTTTAAGCTAAAAAAGGGAGATTTAGACTAGATGTAAGGAAAAAAGTTTTTACAATGAAAGTGGTGAAACACTGGCCCAGGTTGCCCAGAGAGAAAGTAGATGCCCCATCCCTGGAAACATTCAACGTCAGGTTGGACAGGGCTCTGAGCAACCTGCTCCATTTGAAGATGTCTCTGCTCACTACAGGGAGGTTGGACTAGATGTCCTTTAAAGGTCCTTTCTAATCCAAACCATTCTATGATTGGAAGAATGAAACCTTAATTCTGTTCATCAGGACACCAAAACAGAGAATCAAAATGGGGTGATATGCCAGTTCTGCTCTTCTTGGAGAGCAAAAATGTTTTGGATTCTTTGGGAGAATGTTTTAAAAGACAACAAGGAGCCTCTGAAATGGCATAAGCCTCCTCTTGTGCCTTAGAACCATTTTGCATGAATGGAGAAACAAAAACAAGTGAAATCCCTTAAAAGGGTGATACAGTGAAGAATTGCCTGGTGCTGCAGAGGAAATAACTGACACACTTAGACATGATATGCAAAGAAAGATAAGAATGTGGTTTGCAGTCTTTCTGAGGCCTTTTTAGCTTGAGATAACTGTGTGCCACAGGCACTTGTTGCAGGAGTCATTTTGGTTTGGTAGAAGGCCTGGGATTGCTTCAACTCTTGCAAAACTGACTTGATATCTGGACTAAGCCACATCCTTGGTTCCTTTTAGACCCTTGACAGAAATTTTTTCTTCATTTGTCTTCTCAGTCTTCTTGTTTTGATTTTATAGATGGGGAAAACAAGTCAGTTTGTGAACTTTGCATCAACATTGGCTTAACCACAATTATGTGGTAACACTTGACCTTTGGTTGATCTTTGAGGAAATAACCACTGTGCTTCCACGGTTCAGTAACTCCTTCCCTTAGCTGCACAGTCAAGACCCACATGTACTTTCCTCCTCTGCCACTGTGGTCATCACACCTATTTTGACTGATGGTCTCCTCCTGTTGTGCAATCTACCATGAGACAATCCTATAAGCTAAATCCCATAATGAGCAAGGATTTCCTACCTATCCACCCAACACTTTGCTTGTTCTTTCTATCACTCTAATGATTCTTGCAGCTGGAGGAAATGCGAGGTAACTTGGGAAGCAAGGAACAGAGCCCTTATGTGTAAAGAGTCAGTGGGAAAATTCACACTGAGAGTTCCATTTCATTTAGCTTCACTAATCAAAAAGTCCTAGGATACAAAAGTGACATCGAATGTTACTGATCACACTGTCAAGGAGACTTTCTTGGAATTGTCATTAAAACCTTAATTCTGTACAAGAAGCTTCATCTAAGCTACTGCAGGTGCCTCTGGTGCCTCAGTTTAGCTACAGGACACAGCAGTCATGGTAAGGTGAGATACCTGCTTAGCCTCCTCAACTCACAGTGGAGATGCAGGTCTAAAATCTGCCTTTTGGTATGCACATTTACCTCGTAATGAACAGAAGGATTTATCTATTCTTTCCACCAATTTAAATGACTCTAGGTCTTCATAATTTACACACCAACCTCTAAGAAGGCTTATCAGAAAAGTTACTCCGGTCTGATTTTTCCTCCCGTGAAAAATGCTTACCACTGTAAACCTAGGAAGGGGAAAAAGGAAGATTAAGGCAGAAGTAGCTCATCAGACCTCCCAGCCTCTTCTGCAGGACTGTTCTTTGCCTGTATGAGTGGAGTGTGGGATGGGGAATGATTGAGCATTAAATAGACTCAGGCTAAAAAATTCTTGATGTCAAGTGCCAATGGTGAAGTAAAATGGAGGCACAGCTCATTCATCTGGGAAAACAGTGACTACTAGCAAGTAATTCTTTTTCTACCTGAAATTCTAGATTTGTTGAGGGACTGCAATCAATAAGGCCAAGGAGGATTATTTTTAGACATTTATTATAACAAGGCTAGAAATTTTAAGTTGAAGATGCAGCAGAGCTCATACAAAAAAATGAAATTAAGAAAAAAAAAATATAAAATAGTGAAAGTTTACATCCACAGCATTATGAAAATTATATGAT